AGACTTACCAGCAATAATACTGTAGAAAATGGAAATGCGTGATTGTTGAACCGAACTACTGAGTGTTTACTCGCGACTCCCGAACGGCGCGAAACTACGTGTTTGTTTGGTCTCGGTGCACAAACTATGTGCGTGTTGAAAACAGGGAAAAAACTAGTGCTTGTTATTAGGGGGTATCGACTTCAAGAGTGTGGAATGGCTAACAGAGCCGTCACCTCTTGGCGTGGATCGACACTTGAAGAGTGGAGACCACAAACTCTGCACTTCCAAGTACGATGACTGACACTTCCACACCATCGTACCCAAGGCGTTTCACAAGGCCACGGGGTCAGCCTTCAGCTGCAAAGCGATTCGACTCCACACTCACGACATGCACCCGTCACTCCTACGCGGCCACGGCGCTGCGTCGCCACGCCGCTTGTTTCGTGCTGCGGTCAAATCGATGGTCAAGCGAGTTAAATGCGCCTCACCGCCCATTACCTTGGACGCCCCTTTGACGCGACGCGGCGTCGAGCCGTCACGCGGCACTCTCCGTGCGGCGACCATATAAATTTAAATGACTCAACCCAATTCCGGTGGCAGTTTAATTGCGTCGGACGAAACGGAAGGACAAAAAAAAGAACGAAGTGGACAGAATAAGGTGGGACAAAATTTTCGGCCAATTCATGATTCATGGGCGGTTAGGTCGAGGACAAATGAAGGTTGGACCAACTATAGAGGATTTTCGTTTCGTATCGAATCGTAAATTATTTTTCTGATCGAACCATACGCTTAAAACCTTTTGTACATTGCGAAGTATTTTCTTTGTGAACTTATATATGCTCAAAATGCTTTGTTATAACAAGCTGCATTTCTTTGTAAGGCTTAGTAAGGTTTTCAGAGCGCAGAAAAAATTTGCCAAATCGAATTTGAATCAAGATAAACGATTCGATGCCGACTCAAACTTTCCTGTCATTTTATGACTTTTTCCCATACCTAAGTTTCGAAACGAACCACCACTGATTCGAAATTTCGAATCATTCGAGATCAAAAGGCAAATCCGACTTCGGATCTACCACACCTTATAAAACCGCACGTGGTTCGATTCAATTCGGTACCGAACTATTCGCACGACATCCGCCTAGGATAAACGATAGACACCCTAGCAAAAGACCACGGGACGAGACTGCGTGAGGCCCGGTGAGGCCGCCAGGCCGCTGTCGCTGCCTCCCTTACGCGGCCACGGCATCGCCACGGCATCGCCAATGTTCCGATGTGGTTTCGTGCCGCGGTCCAATCGATGGCCTGCGAGTTAAATGCGCCTCATCGCCCATTACCTCGGACGCCACTTTGACGCGACGCGTTGCCGCGTGGCGTCGCGCCGTCACGCGGCACTCGCTGCGATTCCATGAAAATTTAAATGACTTGACCCATTTCCGGTGGAGCCACTCCCCCACTCCCTCGCACCCTCGCCCCACCCCGCGCGAGGCCATATTGCCGCGACGGTCCCCATTGTATCGGCCAAGTTTTCAAGCCGCGGGGAGGTCGCCGTCGTGTTCCCGCCGCCCTGACCCCGAGAGCGCAGCTCGGCTCAGGGCACGGCGACAAATCAAAAAGCGAGACGCGTCTGGCGAAAACGGCGACACGTGGGGTTTCTGGACAACCTAAACGTTTCCCGTTCTTTCCAGGAACTCCCTGGAAATCGCCATCTTCTAGGCCACCTGGGCAAACCAGGAACAAAAACGGTATTATGGAACTATGATACTTTCAGACTTCTCAACGCTGAGCCTGAGCTTGTCATGGGAGCACGTTTCGCTTGACACATCGAAACGCCATCATCCTCTCACGGTGATGTAATACATTTGGTTCTGTACCCTTTACTCGGTCTAATTGGGTCCCGCCCTTTTTTGGGTCAACTATGTTTGTTTCCTGAACGGGGAAACTCACCTGTTTGATGTCCGAAGGGAGTTAATTTGGTAGCCAGAATTTCGCTATTGGCATTCGGACTCATTGCGGCACCCTGCGCAGCGGTCAACAAGCACAGCCCTTCCGCTCTCTCTCTCTCTCTCTCTCTCTCTCTCTCTCTCTCTCTCTCTCTCTCTCTCTCTCTCTCTCTCTCTCTCTCTCTCTCTCTCTCTCTCTCTCTCTGCCTCGCCCTTTGCGCCCCGATGAGTGACCAAACCGACCGCGCTGTTTGGCATCAGCAAGCAGGGCAAGGGCGCTCATTACGTGTGATGGAAGCGCGACCTACCTATGTCGACTGCCCTCTGGTACGTAAAATGTAAAATGTAGGAAAATGGGAAGAGTAATGCAACTACCCGGAAAGGGGCCGTAACCAGTCGAATCACATTGGCATGTGAGTTCACAATGTTCGTGAACGCAGTTCTCCTTTCTTGCCGTAGAGACGCAAGCGGAAAGGTCCCCAGAGCAGAGCGAAACGCGACGCGGCGCGTTAACGATTTCCAAATGGCGCTGAGTCGGCACCCTTCCTTCCCGCCGACCATTTTTCACCGGGTCGCCAATACCGCGCGCCTCAATGGCTGACCCAAATGTGAGCTGCACCGCCACCAAGGCCGTCATCGCCGAGGCCGTCATCGCCGAGGCCGTCATCGCCGAGGCCGTCATCGCCGAGGCCGTCATCGCCGAGGCCGTCATCGCCGAGGCCGTCATCGCCGAGGCCGTCATCGCCGAGGCCGTCATCGCCGAGGCCGTCATCGCCGAGGCCGTCCTCGCCGAGGCCGTCGTCGCCGAGGCCGTCATCGCCGAGGCCGTCATCGCCGAGGCCGTCATCGCCGAGGCCATCATCGCCGAGGCCGTCATCGCCGAGGCCGTCATCGCCGAGGCCGTCATCGCCGAGGCCGTCATCGCCGAGGCCGTCATCGCCGAGGCCGTCATCGCCGAGGCCGTCATCGCCGAGGCCGTCATCGCCAACACACCACTTTTCAGCTCCAAACGGCTTACTTTTGTCCGTCTAACCACGCCCGACGATCACGTGCAGCGCCAGGAAATAACAGACCCTTTCACTCGTTGCCCAGTGAAGAACAAAAGTAATCTAAATATGGGTAATCAAATGAAACACAACCATCTATTGGCCGCTGCTTTAAAATTCGTTGAGACCTACGTTCGTAACCCATCAGGGTTCGGCTTTCAGTTCACACCGGCCGCTAGGTGGCGCGCTACTGGCTTTTTGATTACTTTCGTTCCTCCACTCGTCGACGAGTGAAAGGGTCTATTATTACACTGAAGCTATCGCTACCATCAGCCCTGAAGCCGCCTCAAACCACCTACCCTTGTCCAACACCTGGCCATCCAGTACAGCTCAGGCGGCTAGATCACTGACACGCCATTCCGTGAGCACAACGACGCACGGGCCTACTAAAGTTTTCAGGTGGTCCCGTGATCACCGCACTGTGAGAAAAGGACGACTGTGAATCCGGTAGTGCGGTACAGGATTGCTTCTGCACTTTTTGACAGGCCTGTCCATACCCAAAATATGCTAAATTTGTCGAAATGGAAATCACATCATAGAAATGGATTCCTCTTGACGAGACGTACAGAAAATGTCAACATGTCATGTCATGGCTTTGAACCCGAAATGAAAAAGTTATTGTCCATCAAACAGGTTTTCAAGTGATCGAGTCGCGGTTTTGGACGTTTTAAACACTATTGACGGACAACAACTTTTTTATTTCGAGTGGACCAATGACGTATGTTGACATTTTTTTTGTCTCGTCAAGATGAATTAATTTCTATAATAATTGGATTCCATTCTGTTGAAAATTAAAGTTTGTTTGGGTACGGAGGGGGACAGTCAAAAAGTGCAGTGAATCCTGTACCTTAAACTATAATAGGGGCGTAAAGGTTAACAGAATTCACTGTAGTTCTTTCTCTGAGTGCAGTTCAACGGAATCACTGCCTAGTGAGGTGGAGGCCGAGGATGCCGTGCGGGCGTCCAAAGGCCATCGACTGCGAAGGTGGTTCGAGAGTAGTACGCCGGGGTGTCGCTCGATAGGTCACGTGGCCCCACAGGACGTAATGTAGGTCATGTCGCCGGCCCCGGGATGGCCTCCTCGAGCACAGCTTTCTCAAGAAAAGAAAGAACCTTCCTCTACTAAGTATTTAATGTACCGACATTTCTTGGCAGGGCACTAGTCACTTCCATGACAACGACAGTTCAAGAACTTTGTCGGCCTGCCGATCTGACTGTTGGTTTGTCCAACAACTACTCGTAAACGGTTCGGAGACGTTGCTGTGTCTTGTACTTGTGTGTGCACTTGCAGGGTGCCGATTGATTGGAACGCTGCTCCAAGATAGGTCAGCCGATAGTTTAACTTTTGGTTTGAGCGGATGGATCAAGCTAAAATATCTGAGCGTTTGCTTGCATTGGATAGTACTGTCAAGACCTTTGCAGCAACAAAAAGTGTGAATAAGTACAACTAAAACTGTGACATAACTACAACGAGGAAGGTAAAAAGAACAACCAGAATTGTAAAGACCTGGACCGTACTACTGCTGCACTCGTCATGCCGGTCCCATTGTTCTTTGCACATTACTGCAGTAATTGTTGTATTTTAAAATTACAATTCATCCTTAAGAAAAAAATTGTCATGGTTTGTTGTAGTCGGTGTGTTGTTTTGTTGTAGTCTTAGCAATATTCGAAACCTGTCTCAACTTGAAAAATATTCCCCACACTCAATAAAAATACAAAATAATATTTAAAGAAAATCAAAATTTCAAAATAAACTGTTGTGAAATCGTCTGAATATCTTCAAGTTGGATCAAATTTTCTTCCCGCGCCCGACATCGGAAATTCCCTTGATCCTGAATCCGGAAGGGATGCCGCCCACCTGCTCGGGCCACTGCCGCATCGGGCGGGCGCCGCCTCTCGGGGGCCGCACTGTCGGGGGCGGCTCGCGGCGGTGTGGGGGTGGCGCGGGGAGCAGGGCGGGGAGCAGGGTGGGGGCCGTGCCGCCCCGTCCCGTGCCTCGCCCGCCTCGCCCGTCTCACCCGCCGCACAACAGCTGAGCCTGGCACGGCAGCAACGCCACCTGCCAGAGATGAGGTGAGGCGACCATCCCATGGACTCAATGGACTCGGAGGACTACCCGTCGCTGCAGGCGCCACTGCTGGGGATGGCATCGCTGCGCCTGCCCGAATCGGAGGAGTATCCATTCGACAGCCGACGAGACAACAACCAGGAGTCGTCCTCACCCACGCTGCCCGAGGTGGCCATCAGCCACATCACCAACAGCGTGGGACGCCACCCCGTGCGCCACTCCAGCCGCCACTTCGACAACGACGCCGCCCTCACATCGCCGGCCCGCAACATCTTGGACTTGTTCGGCCAGGCTGTGAAGGATGCCGTGAGCGTGGCTTCCACCATGGCCGAGCACAACGACACCGACGCCCCGGACGGCATGTCCGGGACCACCAAGTTCGACGAGCCGCGCTCCTCCAACCGCACAAGCTATGAGTTGGAGTTCGGCGACGACATGCTGTACCGCTACACCTTCACCACCTCCATGATCTACTGCGTCGCCTACCTCCTGGTCTTTGCCATCGGGCTCATGGGCAATTGCTTTGTCATCGCTGTTGTGTTTCGCTCGCCTCGTATGCGCACGGTCACCAACTACTTCATAGTGAACCTCGCAGTGGCTGACATTCTGGTGATCGTCTTCTGCCTGCCCGCCACCCTCATGTCCAGCCTCTTCGTTCGTGAGTACCAGCACTGCGTGCATGTCTTGGCTGATCTTGTTTGGGTGTGCGCGACGTGTGTGCAGGCGGGCGCGCGTGGCTGTGTGTTTGCGAGTGAGTGAGTGAGTGAGTGAGTGAGTGAGTGAGTGAGTGAGTGAGTGAGTGAGTGAGTGAGTGAGTGAGTGACACTTTGAGTGAGTGAGTGTGTGAGTGGATGAACGAGTGAGTGAGTGAATGCGTGTGTGTGTTTGTTTGAATGCAAGCGTGTATGAATGTGTGCGCGTGTTGTTGCGTGTACGTGTGAGTGTGTTTGCGCGTGTTTTCAGTTTGGCGACCAGAAGAATGTGTCGATCGAGGGGGTATGCACTTGCGTAATAGTCGGTACACTCTATCTGTAATAGCTTGCGTAATAATACGCGTAATAGTCGCGTAATAGCCGAAATTGTCAAAATTTTATCAATTTTGGTGTGTTTTAGGCCGTTTTTAGCTAAATTCTGATTAATTTGTGGCGTAATAGAGCGTAATAGCGTAATAGTCGGTACACAGGTTCAGAGAGCGCATACCCCCTCGGTGTCGATAAACACCGTTTATCGAATGACAGCTTTGAAGAAGCTAAAAAAGTTTAGTTTTTTCATTCCGATGTGGAACCTAGGTTTCATTCTTGGGAAATGGGACTCTAGGGTACCCCCATCCGTCGTTCTATTTTGAATGACGGCAGTATCTTCGCATCTTCATGAATTAGTAGGTTTTCGGCAGGTCAAGCGAAACAGGACGGGGCAGGCCATAAGGGGCACACAGCGCGTCAAAACCCTCCAAAACTCCAATTTTTGAAAAAAGAAAAAAAAAATCGTGCTTACCCACATACCGTTTACCGTCCGGTACTTTAGATCTGTTTCCACAAAAACCAATCATGGATCTAAAACTCAACAGGAAAAGAGAAACCTTCCACTGGGTGTTGATAAATAGGGTGTGATTCGATAAATGGTGTTTTTCAAACATCCTAGCAACCAGGCACGAACCAGGCCTGGCAGAATAACGCGGCCCCACCCTCCCCACTGCCCACCCACGCCACGGTGCTCTTTCCAGCACCAATGCTCTCCATGTTGGCGCCTATAGTGTTTTCTTTTATTGGTTGAGGATAGCAAGAGAGGACACGGAAAGAGATTGGTTCAGAATCTGTTTGTTCCTGGGGTGTGATTGTGTGTATGTGAGTATATGCGTGGTGTGTGTGTATGTGTATGAGAGAGAGAGAGAGAGGAGAGAGAGAGAGAGAGAGAGAGAGAGAGAGAGAGAGAGGGGGGGGGGGAGAGGGAGGGAGGGAGAGAGAGAGAGAGAGCAATGGCTCACGTGTTTCTCTATCCGCCCGGCACTCTCATATCGCGTCCCCTGGTGCTGCCTGCCTGCTGCTCCAAAGTTTGATGAAATTGTTTGCCAATATATCGGCGGTGAGGCGTGCCCGACCCGCCGCGTGGCGGACAAAGGTGCGGTCGAGTGTTGTTGCAGCCCCAGCCCGAGTTGCAGTGTTGCCGTGCAACTAGGGACGGGGGAAGGGGGACACAGACCGTCCGCCGCGGCCCGCTCTCGATCGCTCTCCCGTCCCAATTGTCTCTCGGATTTCTGGCATACAGGCACGATCTGGGTGCTGGAATCCCCCCCGCGCCTTGGGACCGAGCTGCATGCCTGCACTCATCCCGAGCGCCTTAGGAATATCGGGGAGGAATGGATATTGTCATCACGGCTCATCTCCGGGAATCCCTGCCGCTGGCCGCGCTGGCCGAGACCGATAAGTCTCGTCGCTGGCCCGCGGCACGGCGTGGCACGGCATGGCACGGTACGGTCCAGCTCAGCAGGGCGCGGTACGGTGGGCCTGGGCACGGCATGGCATGGGCACGGCGCGGCGCGGCTGCTCCCGACCCCCTCGTTGCTGACCCTTAGGTCGCTCGGGCCGGCTCAGGCCGCCCATTCCAGCAGCACGCTGCGGCACCCTGCCTGCCGACTCGCCAGGGCCCCGCCAGGGCCCCACCAGGGCCCCGCACCCTGAGCGCACTAGCCGAAAATCGATGCATGCTGAATCCTGGGCCGTGCCGCGCCCCGCCTCACCCGAGGCAGTGCTGACCAGACTACACCGGAGACCCGAGTGCCTAGGCCTAGGCCAAGTTCAGCCCCCCGAGGGGCTCCGAGGGGTGCCGAGGGGCCACTGAGGGGTGCCGAGGGGCCACTGAGGGGGCGCCCGGAGCCGCGCCCCACCTCTCAAAAGGTCAGCGGCGCGACACATGCAGGCAGTCTTATTTGCACCGAGCCGCGGGGGCCGCGAGCTTGTTTCCAGGGGACACACGGCAAGAGGGCAGGCGGACGGGGCGTGGCGGGGCGACGCGGGGCGACGCGGGGCAAGACGGGGCGTGGCGGGGCGGGGTGGGGCGGCCACAGCACGGCCCCTTGCTGACAAATTGCGAGGGCTGCCAGCACCAGCGCAGGTGGCCCACTTTGGAGCCTAGCAGGAAAAGTGCGGCGCGCAGACGTGCTCAGCACCCAGGGTGTCAACAGCACTAGCCTCGCCGCAGTGTACTCCCCTCGAAACTTGTCCGCCAGACGCACCCGAATCGTTTCGTGAGCGGGCGGAGGCGTCCTCACGCAACATTAGGCTTGACACCCAGCATTGGGCGCACGGGTGGGAGCGGATGCGAGGGCCCCACTTGGAGCACAGCCACCACTCGGTCCTCTCCGCGCGGTCCATCCCTGCGCGACCCTTCCCTGGGCGGTCCTTCCTTGCGCAGTCCTTCTCTGCGTGGTCCTTCCCTACGTGTCCCTTCCCTATGCGCGGACCTTCCCTTACACGGCCCTCCCTACGCGGCCCTTCCTACGCGTCCCTTCCTTAGGCGCGGACCTTCCCTACACGGCCCTTCTTACGCAGCCCTTCCCTATGCGCGCGTCCCCTCTCTAAGCGCGGTCCTTCCCTACGCCTCCCTCATCCCCTATGCGCGGCCCTTCCCTACACGGCCCCTCCTACGCGGCCCTCCCCTATGCGCGCGTCCCTTCTCTATGCGTGGACCTTCCCCACGCGCGCCTTCCCTACGCGCGGCCCTTTTCTTGTGCGGACTTTCCTACACGGCCCTTCCTGCGCGTCCCTTCCTTATGCGCGGACCTTACCTGCGCGCCCGTTCTCTATGCGTGACCCTTCCCTGCGTGGGCCTTATCTATGGATGGCCCTTCCCTGCGCGGCCCTTTCCTGCGCGGTCCTTCTCATGGACGACCCTTCCCTATGCGCGGCCCTTTCCTGCACTGACCTTGTGCGGCCCGTACGAGCCCTTATTCCACGAAGTCCTCTCTTGCGCGGCGTCCCTGTGCGGCCCTTCGGCCCTTCCCTATGCACGGCCCTTCCCTGTGCAGTCCTGCCACGTGGTTCTCCTCTGCGCGACCCTCCCTGCGCGGCCCTTCAGCCTGGGAGGTGGGCAGCTGGCGACCACCTCGCGCGGCGCTGCGAGATGGATTGCCTACCCTCGGCTCCGCGGGCGCTCCGCGGGCGCTGCGGCTGCTGTGAGCACTGAACGCGGAAAAACGAAACGAGCTGCTTTGAAAGTTTTTCCTAGGAACTTTGGGGGTGTTTAGTGCACTGGCTGGAACTTGAGGCTCAGACATGGTCAAAATGTTCACGATCCTTAACTGCGTTGCTAAAAGGAAAATGAGGTAGTGAACGAAGGCCGGATACTTTCATATCTGACCTAAAAGAATGTGATACGTATTGTCATGTCTGGTGGTGGTGGTCCGACTTTCGCCTTAGTTTCTTGTAGACACGTCGAACTTGGGTTGTATTCAAAAGTACTGCCCTTTTATCGATTTCTTATTTTTTTTAAACAATTATTTTGTTGATGCCTCTGTGTCTTACCATTTTAGACCCGACCTATGTCTTGCGTCATAGAGGTGAGGCACATTTGTGACCCCGGTAAAAGGGTGAGAAGTCATACCTTTTCGTTTACGGGTCAGAATATTTTGTGTTGTTTCACTTGCGGTATTTCCGCGTGTGCGTGTCTCGGTGCATTTTGACGTTCATTCTTCCTTCTTCCTTCTTTCTCCGAGTCAGTCTGTAGGGTAGAATGCAGTCGCGCAGCTGACCTGGTTCCCTGCCACGCGGGAACTCGGACCAATAAGTGTGCCCCGCCACGCTCGGTCAGTCCTTTTGGGTCCATCGCTGCGCGCCTTCGGTGCCGTCCCTCGGCCCTCGAGGGAGACGCTAGGCTAGCCATGCCGGCAGGGCAGGTGGACCGGACTGCACTTGATGAGGCTGCTGGGCTGCTGCGCACCGCCCTCACAGGGACATGACAACCAACGAGTCGCGCACGCCCGGATGGAAGGCCGAGGCAAGGCCAGGGCACAGCCAGGGCACGGTCAGGGCACAGCTGCGGGCACAGCCCACTGAACGGGCCTGGGCGATTCCGCGTACAGAGGGCCTTTTCGTGTCCGCACCCTCCCCAGAGCAAACTAACTCGACTGCAATCCATTCTGCACTTAAAAATATTGTTTGGCACTTACGGTGTTCCCATTGTATATGGGTTTGGGTCAGATCAAAGGAGCGACTCAGGGGGGAGGCCTTCATGTCCATTAGCACCTAACACCAACTTTGCGGCTCTGGAACCTTCTGTCCCATTCGAATATTCGGCTTCTACACACACTTATCAAATACTAAAGTGCAAAGTGACCAGCGTACTCCAACTTTCACCTTAATGGTTTCAAAGTAACCAGCAAAAACAATAATAGGAGTGTTCTCTTCTCAAAACAATCGCCGTTGTTATAATCAGCATTGTCTGTTTACCCTGTAAACGAATCCCGGTGGCGACGAAGAAAGAGAGCTGGGCGTGTGAGTGGAAGTTGTGTGTGAAAACAGTGGGTCGTAACTATTAATTCCGTAGGTCCCTCTCGCTCCTCTCTTGGTACGTTTCAAAAGTGCGAGAGAAAACTTGTCTCAACGTTGGGCTAGTGTGCCAAACGTGGGCACGTTGGCACGTTGATGTAAGTCAGAAACATCT